ATCGATCTTCTATTTCTCTTTTTTCAGAAATCGATCAATTAAATTATGGAATATTAGTTAACGATTGCATCATCATCAACATGAGGAAGCGAGATTTAGCAAATGCTCTATGCTTTCGCCCTTTTCTTTTCCATTTCAGGTAAATCAGATTATCTCAATTCACTGTGTTAATCGACCTCAGAACCCTAGAGCTGTTTAGTTTCTTATTTTTTTTTAGTAATTTGTACTTCTAGTTGAAATTGAATGATTACTACGTCTAATTTGTCTCTATTTGACAATACGACGAAGGCGATTTTACGTTGAAGGAGGCGTGGTGCAATCTATTGGATGAATATCCAATTAAATACGAGGGGGAACCTATTGTGTCCGATCTTAATGGCGATCGAAAGAAAGAGGTTCTTGTGGTTACTTATGACACTAAAATTCAGGTATTGTGTATCTAGTTCGTAGAATCAAATTTGCGGTTTCAATTGAAGGCCATTCAAGCACGTTTGATAGCTCATAAGGATTCGTTCGTGCTCAAATAGTTTCAAAGTATGAACGATTTGGTGTTATATTCTTATCCCAAACCTCTATAGTCTTCTTCTTCCAAGCATACTCTCAAACACTTTAATTTTTAATTTTTAACTGAGTGTTGCTCCAAACGAAATATGGCTATTAGTTGCTATATAATCTTGTGTTATATCTTATATTAGCAGATACACTTTTAGCATTTGCAACTTAAAAATCAATGGGTACTACTACACTACTATGCTTTTAGTTATATTTATAACCACCTTTATTGAGATTGGAGTTATGAATATGTTCTTTGTCTTCTTGTACTTAATTTTTTTCATGTTGATCAGGTTTTAGAACCTCACTAGGCGTGTGGATGAAGGATTTAGTGAGGCTCATGTTCTTGCAGAAATAATATGGTTACCTGATAAAATTTGTTGCTTTGGGCAGATGTGAGTAGCCATGGGAACAGGGGCAGTTGACTGAACTTTCAAATGTGGTCATGTACAAAACCAAGTCTTGGTTGTTGTGACATCAGGTTGGTCTATAATGTTCATTTATCATAACCTCCAAAAGCTATGGGAAACAAATGTGCAGGTCAGTTTTTTTTATAAAATTTGCATAAATCTCAGTTTTTATGGCCAACTTTAATTGCATTCTAGTTTTTTTAGGAGGATTTCCCACACAATGCTCACCATAGAGAAATGTCAATTTATTTAAGTAATTATACATCAAAACATGGAGATGTTGGACTTGTATTGTTGGAGGAATGATGGAAATGCAGCCACATCTATGTCTCTTTAACTCTTCTGTTTTTATATATTCATTAATATAATTTATAACATTGTCTAAAAATTGAATAATCATTTATTTCTACACTATTTTAGATGCACCTTGATCCGTTTGAAGAAATTAAAATGGCCGAGGAAAGTGCAGATAAGCATCGAAGAAGCGGAAGCGAAAAAGAAGTAACAAATTTTGAAGTTTTATTTCTTTCTTAACTTTTTGTTTCTAGTGTTTTTCAAATCAATATATATATATATATATATATATATATATATATATATATATATATATATATATATATATATATATAAGCATCGAAGAAGCGGAAGCGAAAAAGAAGTAACAAATTTTGAAGTTTTATTTGTTTCTTAACTTTTTGTTTCTAGTGTTTTTCAAATCAAATTATATATATATATATATATATATATATATATATATATATATATATATATATATATATATATATATATATATAGATGCATCATCAGTTATTGATTTACGCCATTTTGCAATTTATGCTTTTGCTGGGGCGAACCGGTGCGCTTCGCTAGAGTAGAAAGAATGAGATAATAATTATATCTTATAGATTATTACTTATTCAATTTACTAACATTTATTCTCTTATTAAAAGAACTTGGAAGCCACTCCATCAGATGAATCTCCACTAATTCCATAACATAATTATAAACTCGATGTTCAAGCTCTTAATAGGCATCAACCATGAGAACCTAGCAAACTTGTTGTTTTGTGTAAAGCACATGGTGACACCTTTTGTGATTTACTTAAAAATCAAATTATTTAAACTTATGAATTCAAAATCAGCTGTTTAATTTTGTTGAATCTTGTACAGCTAAAGAATAACATAGTTGGAATGCAGTCCCCTTATAGCTTCTTTGTCTCGCATAATTGGTCTTCAATATGATCATATTTTGATCGAATTAACAAGTGTGAATTTCATTTAGATTTTAGAATATTTCCCTTGGTCAAATCTTGGTTGACTGAATTTGTTGCAGGGGCATAAATATCGACTTGCCCTCATAGCATATATGCTTTTAGAGTTTTAGTTTTCAATATTAAAATTTTTGGTTTTTGTCAATGTTAAGTATTCCTTTGGACAAGGGCTTATACACTATAAGTTACCAGAAGGTAACATCGGGAGCATCAGGATTCATATTTTATGCATTATATTTACTGGTAAATCAAATTAAAATATAAAATATATCAAAATAAAATGTGTATTTATTTTAAGACGTGTAAATCATTATATTGTATTGTACAGGTGAACAGATGGAGGTATACAATGTTTGTGTTGAATGGATGAGAAAACATTCTTGAAGCATTTTTATTTTTGTCACATCAAAACTTTTATTGATTATGTATCTAGTGGTATTTTATGTTTAATTTGTTGCAACTTTTGATTTTGAAATTGTATTTTTTTTGTACTGGATATTTCTTTTAGTTCTTATAGAAATACTTTATTATTTTTGGTTTTATATTAATTGTATTTTTATAAATTGATATAAATAGTAAAATTGAATAACCAAAATTTATTGAATAATTGTATGGAACAGTTTCTATGGTATTGGGTACAGAATTTGTTATGGAAAATTGCTATGGAATTTGCTATGAAAAGTTGTTATGGAATTGGCTCTGGAAAAATCGCTACAGAATTTGTTACGGAAAAATCATTATGGAATTCGCTACGGAAACATTGCTACGGTATTGGTTACGAAAAAATTTCTACGGAATTTGCTACGGATAAATCGCTATGGAATTTGTTACGGAAAAATCATTACGGAATTTGCTACGGACAAATTGCTACCGAATTAGTTACGTAAAATTTTTTATGGAATTTGCTACGGAAATACTATGTAGCTCAAATTGCAACGAAATAGATATCGTAGAAACTGCCATAGTAAAATTGCTACGAAATTATAATTCCGTAGCTAAACATATTGCTACAAGAAATAATGCTACGAAGTCTAATTGAAAATTTATGTAGCAAATTTCGTAGTTAATCAACTTTAGCTACAGAATTTTAACTTTTTGCTACGGAAATTTTCCGTAGCCAAATTAAAATTTTCTTGTAGTGGTAGTAGACTTAAATATGAACGTGTGGATATAAATATTGTTAAAAATGAGATCGTATGAAGAAGTTATGACGTTCAGAACACAAGACCTAAACAAAGTCACAAGACCTAAACAACCAAGAAACTTAAGGGAAGCCACAAGACCTAAACAACTAAGCAACTTAGATTACTCATGTTAAAAAGTAATATATTTTTTACTTACAATTTTATAAACAAAACGCTCATACATATATTCATAAAGAATGCATGCATATAAAGATCGTAAGTAAAAATATATTATCTTTTAAGAGGAGTAATTTAAACGAAAGTTGTAGTAGACTCAAATATGAACGTGTTGATATAAAGATCGTTAAAACTTGAAGAAGTTAAGACGTTCAAAACACAACAAATACAAACATATGGATATAAAGATCGTTAAAATCTGATATCTTATGAAGAAGTTACGACGTTCAGAACACTAGAGATAAGCGAAACACAAGATTTAAGCAACCAAACAGTTGAGGTTGTGGTGGCCATAAGCATCAACGGTCCCGAATATCTCATTATTGATTTTCCAACGTAAGATGTTGTGAAAAAAATCTAAAGAAACCTGTTATATATAATGAATGTATACAAAAACTTATTTTGCAACAAAAAATATTAAGTACTAAACGTAAAAAATATAATAAGGACTAAACGTGTATAAAGTGAGAGATATATCACGTATTAAGTCATTTTTTTCAGTTTACCTGGATTAGTCGGACATAATGACGTAATGTGTATAGTTAAACAAGTTGAATGCAAACATGAACGAAAAAAAAAAAAACAGTGACAAAATATATACAAATAAAAAATATACCATCGTTTTAAGTAATTATCCAAGATCGTACTTTTATCCTAACACTAAGAAAATGGTTATTTACTATCATTTCATTATTTAATTAATCTTAAACCCTTACACTAAAGGATTCATAAATTTGGATTTTAAATGTTTACGTTACAAACCCATTGGTGATCTAAATTCTAAAAAAATACAAAATAAATAAATAAATAAATGGCATCAAATTTCTATACTAGACCCAGCTTAGGTACACCTAAGTTGGTCACCACCTTCCTTTTGATATAGACCCATCGCAATCTCTTAAGTTGTAGATTATAGATAGATTTATTATTTATCATCACGGACAAATATGCAAATTGACTTGGACAAAATATATTCGAGATAATGAATACCATTTTTAGTTGTGACAGATATATGTATATGCCATGATTGCCATCTATGTGTGGAAAACTATAACGTTTGATTTAATAAAGGTTTTAGTAATATATTTGCTCGTTCGTTAAACATCTGCAATAACGGGAAAAAATTATGAAGCAATGCAATGTTGTTGATATATATTTTGCTCAATTCAACCTCCAAATTTTTTGGTACGTACGTTTTCAAAACATCCCGTGAATTGTTGTAACCTTTTAATTTTTAGAAAGGTTTTGTTAAATATCATTAAACTTGAAATTTGATAAAAAAACAGATGTAATTATTAGATTGTTTAGGAAAAAGTTGGTCACCAAAATCTCCTATAAATACGTTTCTTGATTTCAATTAAGAAATCATTCGAAATCAAAACACATTTGGCAACCATTATTGCAACTATGTCATTGTCACAAAAAGGGACTACCATGGGTCTAGTCTTGATCCTAGTGTTCATGTTATCGGGTGAGACCAAGGCTCAATCCGGCTGCACCTCTGCGCTTATTGGCTTAACCCCATGCCTAACCTTTGTCTCAGGAAATGCTTCGATTCCATCCGCTTCATGTTGCTCACAACTATCTAATGTAGTTCAAGGTCAACCACAATGTTTGTGCTCACTACTAAATGGTGGTGGGCCTACTTTTGGGATATCGATAAACCAAACACTGGCTTTATCGCTTCCCGGTGCCTGTAATGTACAAACTCCCCCGGTTAGCAAGTGCAATGGTAATGTTTAATTTCTTAATTTCATTTCATTGATTTCAACATTTATACATGGATAACAAACTAAAGAGTTAGCAAATGGCTTATAGCCTAGCTATATCATAGGTTGATTGAAATATGTGCTTGAGCCAAATGTTAAAGGTTGAAGTTTTGTTAAAAAACAAAAGATTTATATTTATGAGTAGGATAATGGATTAATGGGTGAACGACGCATGTAACATAAAAATTGTTAATAATGGCATATGAAACTAATCCACCATCCGAACTACATAGAAAACTGATTTCCTAGTTGAAAGCAAATATTGAGATTGTTTTTTCATTAAACATGTTTATGAGCTAAAAATATTAATTTGAATAGCTATATATGTTTAAGAATTAGCCAAAAGAATGATGAATATATTAAGACACTAAATTTTTTGCTAATTTTATAACTTTCCATTAATCATTCACTAATACTTATGTGTAATTTGTCTTGCTTGTCTTTCTTCTCAACTTCTCTCACGATAAAATTGATGAGTTTTATGAAATTTGTTATAATGGTAAAATTGTTATTTATTCTCATTCAAATGGTGTATTAGCTCTAGAAAGAAACATATTTCATCAGTTTCTGATTTTGTTCCTATAGATCCATTCAACAAATAAAAAATTGATGGAATAAATAGACTCCAACACAAACGATAATGGGTTATCTATATATTATTATTTTGTATGTAGGTGTTGCTAATGGACCTACATCGTCATCGGCTGATTCTCCAACAAGTAACTCTCCATCAGATTCTTCTTCCAATGAAACACCAGTAGGTGCTCCAACTAGTACTACTACACCAACGATTCCTGATGTTGGTGTTCCAACAACTACAACTACACCAACGATTCCTGATGTTTCTCCAGGTATAAAATGCTTGAAATAACTTAGTTTTCCGATCAATATCTTATAAAATGTGTATGAAATGTGTGATTCATGGAGAAACAATGTGCAGGAGGTTCGAAATCAGTACCTTCAACAAACAGTGATGGATCAGATGCAACGATCATTAGGGCGCCCACTCGTGTGCTAGTGGTTGTGTTTTTGGTAGCAACGTGTGCATCTATTGTGACAAAATTTTGAATTGGAATTATTATGATCTATTGTATCAAAGCACTTTAACTTTGACTTATAGAAAAAGTCTTTGTAAGCAATCTATTATATACAATTTTGCTAAAAGTCTCTTCATATGATGTTGTATTCTAATTAAAGAAGATATATTTCTATGTATATGTCCATTAATGATGTTTTATTATGCATGGTTGACAAAATTCAAAACAAATCTTGTATATAGAAAAGTTGTTACCACAATATGACATCAGACTTATAGATTGCTTCTTGTTTGTTTTCTACAAAATAAATTGTTTAAACGATAATAAATAACCATTTTATCTTTACATTAAAAAAACACATTTCAAAATATACACCAATTTTAACATAAAAATAATTGAGAAGAAAAAAAAAGGAATGACCAAATGGGTAAAGGGTTGTGCCTTAATTACGTCTATGTTAAGGGGTTGTCTCTTTTTTTCTTACTAAGACTTGTATGAGTAAGTGGTTGAATGGTGAAACATCATGTTTCAAAAAGAGTTTCTTATTCCGGGATTGTGGACAATGTTTGGATCGAGTAAAGGCCATGGGCTTCAACGGAATGCGGTTTAAATCCTATCGGATTTTGATAACATTGGTTATGTGATATAAGCTCGTGGTTTGTGTTTTGGAGTCAAAGGGTAAAAAGGGAAAAGCAATGTTTCGAAATTCCTTGATGATTATGGTTTTTAGTTTGACATGTGTTAAGCCAAAAGTTAACTATATAGAAGTTTGGGGCTCGTCAATACCTTTATGAAGATATAAAGTGATATGGACATATTTAACTATATATTTTAGGCCATTATCTTAATATATTTGATTAAAATGTTATATTTTTAGATATATCACACTTAATATGCTTGAAAATGTTCAATTATAGTTAAAATGAAAGTTGGGATGCAAAAGGAGGAGAATAGAGCTAGAAAAGAAGCAAAAATGATGTTGTTGGCAACTTGCCCCTCGTCAGTATTTTAGCAAAATCTCATGACTCGTAACTCCGATTGACGAGATTCAAGATGTTTTAAAAACTAGACAACATTTCGGACAACTTTCATGTTTTGAGAAAATGTTGATTCCCAACAACCACGGCGTTGTGATCACTACCATGGCGTGGCGAATGGAATCTTCGTGATTCTTGACGTTGACTTGGAGAATACGAGATAAACACGAGGACCATGACGTGGTGGAGGTCAACCACAATGTGGTGGTCAGATTTTGGTAATTATATATTTTTTGTACATTAGATCGATTCTAGGAGGTAGAGGACTTAGGGATGCGGTTATTCACGAGAAAAAACCTTCCAAGGGTCGATTTTGAAGCTAAAGAGTCAATTGGAGCAAAGATTGAAGATTCAAGCGCTATAGTATTGAGATTTCACTTCAGGTTTTCTTGGTGATCATGTATAGCAATCTTTAAGTGATGTTTTTCTTCTTTATTTTTCTGAATATTGTGTAAAAACATTTACTTTCACTAGATATTGATGAACCTTGGTTGATATGCTTTGATTTCGTTAATAGGATTAATTGAATTTGGTTTTAACTTGTGTTCGATTGATTGATTTACCTTTCATGTTAAAGTTATGATTTTTATTGTTTATTGTTGAGTATTATTTGGATTAGATGATCATTCTAACTTGATGTACTTGAATCAGATTAATCTATGATTATTAGGTTTGTATGACTAGGACTTTGATCATAAGCATGTGGTTAGATAATATCAATCGGTGGCTTTGATTGTGTTAGAGAGTATTAGATATCCATGCTATGCTTATATTGGTTGCCATGATCATTGACAAGAAATCAGTAGATCATATCGTTCATAGTTCGAATATATTTAAATAATTACGTGTTCATTGATTGCATAATCATTATGTTAGTTGTTAATTACTTATTAGTACTAGGAAATCCCATCAAGATAACTTGTCATATTATAATTCGGTAATCAATTCATTAATCCATTGCACTTCTAATAAATCAAATATAAAAACTTCAGGAATTTGTATTCAAGTGGAAGTACTTCTTATTTATTGTTTCCATTTAGTTCTTTAGTTTAACTTGATTAATAGAGTGTCAAAACTAGTTTAGTTGTTTTGAACAAAAAAAACCCTTTTTACTTTACTATTATTAATGTAATTAGCATTTGAATCATTTGATCTAAACTATCACGTTCTCAGTGTTCGACACCCTTTCGTAAACTATATAATTCACGACTAGGTATTGGAAAATTGGTGTGAACCAATTTATAAAAATGGGTTTTCCCTATTTTTTAACACGTCCAAAATGGATTTATGTGAATGAGAAATTAATCTTTAAAGTAAGGGTTTCGGAAGAAGTAAATAAAAGAGCTTAATGGTTGGGAGAAATAAAAAAAAATTTAGGGACCTTTCTTGCAAACATTTCTTTCTTTTGTAACAGAAATTGTAATTAATATTACAATTAAATTACATATTAACACACATTAATGTTGTGATTAATAGAGGTGTTTAATTGGAAGGTTATAGAATATGTAGTATAAACACTACTACTATACAACAATTTGAGGATACCAATAAGAATACAAAAACTCTCTTCTTCTTCATTTCATGTTCTTAGTTTTCTTGTTGAATTAAAGGTAAAATTCAAGCCTATTGAGGGTTCGGATGGTCTAGAAGAACCACTTCAAACTGTTGTATCATGGGAAACAAACATCCGGTAGCGGGCGAATTGTTTTAAAGACAATGTGTTGAGCACATGCCTTAGTTTATTCTGCTTGCTTGTTAACTTTTGTACATTTTCGTAATATTATTTCATATAATCTTAAAAGAAATTCATTCGTATGAAACAAACTACAAATTGGAAACAATTTTACTTGCATTTTTTTTTTGATATTGTACGATTTTCATAAAAAAAAAAAGGGGAAAGTTTTGTATTTTGAAGCACCTTTGGTCATTAATTCATTAAGACATGTATTTGTAATAAAGTATCTACCTTTCCAGCTTTGGTACTGATTCTATTAATTACCTAATGAGTTAAGAAGCTAGCTTAACTCAAAAACACAATTTACGTGTTGCGGTGAAATGCTCTAATATGTCCCAATTTTTGAAAAATGATACCTTAGTCATGGATACTCATTTCTTGTTGAAACCAATTCTCAAAGTTTGGTATATGAGTCTACTTCATTTCATTAATTTGTCTGAAAGCTGTAAACAAATCTAACTAGGGTGAAAAATACGATTTTCACTGACTGGTTAGATTTTAACAGCTATGATACACACATTTTGTAAAATTCATAATAAATTGTAGAAAAATCGTGTGTACTTGTGCAAATAGTCCTTGGAAAGCTAAGAGACAAGGCTACTGAATTATAATATTATATTGTCGTTTTGAAGGTTTTAGTGGGGCTAAAGTATTCTCGAACAGACTGCATTATTTTTTTTTTAAAAAAAAGCCCCGAAAACTGAAAAGGCAACTTGGTTTTACTTAAAATCATTAGATTTTAAATAGTTTTGTTGAAAATCAAGGTTTTAGAATTTCTTCATTAGAAATCAAGTTTCATAATTTTTGAAATATGGATTTTTTATTATGTTGAGTTTTGTCCAAGCAAGAGGCAAACATATTTTCTGGAAATTATACCTAAACATTTATAAAGTGCTATGATTTCCAAAGTGAACTCTATGGATGTCACCACCAATGATTGATGGATTACCCGTCATGTGTGTTCAAATAGGGAGTGTTTCAAGAACTATAAGGTTGTGAAAATCTACTATTTTCTGTCCAAGTTGTGGCAGAAAATTATTCTTGAAATTGTGATTCTAAACACTTAAGTTTGGTTTTTAATATATTCCAGAAATTGTATCATCTAGAAAATAGCTAACACTTAATAATGTGTTGTGTGTTCCAAATATTAGGAAGCACTCAGTCTTTGGATAAGCATGGTTTTTTCTTGGGTTATGAGTCAAATAAGTTTGTATTAACATAAAGGGCATGTTTATAGGCAAACGCTATTCGGATGGTGGGATGGTTAAATTCCATGTAATGGCTAATAAGCCTAATATCAGTGACATGAATAACCATTCCACTTATTGGTTTGATTCTTCTAATGTGTGACATGTTAGATTTAGACATGTTATTTTTTACACATTAAAGTTGTTAATCAAACTCAAACACATCCCTTACATTCATATAGACTCAAAATATAAATGAAACACTTGTGTTGAATCAAAGTTAACACGACAATCATTCACATCCATTGCAAGGACAACAAAACCACATAATCAATCTATTGATAATTACACTAAACTTTGTTATGTTAATTTACTTAAAAGTAAAGATGAAATGATAGACAGGTTTTTTGTGTATAAAAGTGAAGTTAAGAATCAACTCAATGGAAGTATTAAAGTAGTAAGAAATGATTATGGAGGTGAATATGTATCACCGTTTGAAGAACCTTTTCAAATCATGGTATAAGACATCAGTTGATTGCACCTTATTCGCCAAAACAAAATATCATCATGGAAAAGGAAAAACATGTACCTTAAAGGAAATGATTAATGTCATGTTGTTAAGTTTTGGGTTGCCACCCTTAATGTGGGGGAATTTGTTTTAACAACTAATTACCTTTTAAATAAGGTACCGCAAAAAAACGAATTAAGACCATACAAGTTATGGTCGGGTACAAAACCATCTTACAAATACATTTGAATGTGGGGGTGTCTTGCAAAGGTTGTTATACCTAGCCCCAAGGTTGTAAGATTTGGCACTAGATTGTTGGTTGCATTTTTATTGGTTATGCACAAAACAATAGTGCTTATTGTTTTCTTGTTCACGACTCTAATCGGATATTCATAAAGGTAGAACAATGGAACTAATAAATGCATCATACTTTGAAAATGTGTTTCCATGTCTTGATAAATAAAAAGACAAGTGATCCAAAGCAATTGGGCATGAAGAACCCTCTCATGAAGAAGAAATGGAAGAAGAAATAGATCATGATGGAGTAAAAGGGTACAAGTGAAAAATCATTTGGAGATGTTTTTTGCATGTATATGGTTGAAAAAGAAGCTCAAACTTTCAAAAAACAATTTACTTCCTTTGACAGATCTCAATGAAAAGAGGCAATTAAAAGTGAAATGAATTCTATCTTTCCAAATCACATGTGAGAGATAGTGGAT